TGCATTTTCCTGATGACTAATGATGCTGACCACATTTTCATGTGCTTATTAGTCATTCTTATGCCCTTTTGAATGAAGTGTCATTCTATTCAATTCTTTTTTGCTCATCTTAAAATTGGGTTGTTTGGCTTCTTATTATTGAGATATATTTCTTTATATATAGTTCTGCATACAAGTCCTTTATCACACATGATTTCAAAATGTTTTCTCCCAATCTATAATTTGTTTTTTCAGTTTCTTAACAATGTCTTCTGAGGCAGAAAAGCTTTAATTTTAACGAAGTCAAATTTTTCAGCTTTTTGTCTTATGGCTTATTCTTCTGGTGTCATCTAACAACTAATCCAAGGTCATAAAGTTTCCTTTATGCTTTCTTTTAGAAGTGTTACAGTTTTAGCTCTTACATTTAGGTCCATAATTCATTTTCAGTTCATTTTTGTACATGGTTGATTTTTGTGAGAAAGTTAATTTTTTTATATGATTATCCAATTGTCCCAGCACCATTTGCCGAAAAGATAATCCTTTCTCTATTTAGTTGTCTTAGCAGCTCTTCCAAAGAAATTCGGTGGACCAAAAAGTAAAAGTTTATTTTTGGTCTCTCAACATGCTCATCCTTATACCAATGCCATGTTGTCTTGATTACTGTCACTTCAGACTTAAGTTTTGAAATTGTAGTGTAAGTCTTCCAATTTTGTTTCTTTATCCATTTATTTTAAATTTTATTTGAACCTATTGTATTAAGTATACTTATGAATACTAACTTAAATCCTTTCTAAGACAAGACAGATACAAATAAATACAAAAATAAGCTATATTTTAAAGAATAAGAGAATATATTCCTTTTGAGACTTCAAAGTGACAAGCATTAATGTATTCCTTGAAGAATGACTGTAACACTAAGTCTTCCCAACTCTCATATCTTTATCAAAATTTACTGAATCTCTACTAGACATTCTTTCTACCAGGCACAATGCAAGGTTAGGTGCTAAAGACACAGAGACAAATAAGATATAGTTCCTCATTTAGCACATAAATTGAAAATGATGGCATAGAGTATTAACAGAAACAACAGAAATATGTACAAGAAATAGGGAAAGGATATTAATTTTATCTAATCAGAGTTACCTTACTTTATATGATAAGCTTGTTTCTGAAAAAATGGTTATAAATTTTGGTATTTTGTAGACAAAGTAAGTTTTAAAATATCAGAGCTTAATATAGGGGTCCTCAAACTTTTTAAACAGGGGGCCAGTTCACTGTCCCTCAGACCGTTGGAGGGCCTGACTATAGTTTAAAAAAACTGTGAACAAATTCCTATGCACATTGCACATATCTTATTTTGAAGTAAAAAAACAAATGGGCAAAAACACCCACATGTGGCCCACGGGCCATAGTTTGAGGACTCCTGGCTTAATACTTCAAAAGTCTGTAATAAGCAGTCCTTTTGAAAAATACAGTTTCTCTCAATTAGTTTAGCTCTTTTAATTTGCTTTTTGTTCTTGGCATCGTTACAAAAGGAATTTATACTAATGGAAAAATTCATACAAAACAGAAGAATTTATAGTAAAATGAGAAAGCTCTCATTTTACTTCCAACCTACCCTACTCTTTCCCCCAGAGGTAATTTCTGTTATGCTATGTCAACTTGTTCACAACAACAGGCTACAGAAGATACAGATAGTAAGAACTCTTAAAATCCTGAAATAAATCGCAAACCTTATTTTAGATAAAGCTTCACCCTTTTCCCCACTAAACTTGACATCAGAATAACCAGTAAGACTTAAAATTATTTTTTCCTTCTGCATCCCAGCTATGCCCCAGAAAAGGTAGAGATAAATAGAAAAATAGACATAAAGAACAGACATAAATAATGTATCTGTGTTTGTATGTATGTGTGTGTGTGTGTGTGTGTGTGAGAGAGAGAGAGAGAGAGAGAGAGAGAGAGAGCGCACGCGCAAGAAAGCTTCATAATGACAGTTCCTGAAACTTGTGCTACAGGAGATTTTAATTAATGTTATAAAGGAAGGAAAGAAGGAAGTTGCAAGGAAGGAAGAAGATGGGGGTAGGTGTTTCTAAGCTCAAATAAATATTGGAAAATTGGGAAATATTGGGTTAAATAAAATACTAATATACATTATGACTGCTCCTACTTTTCCTAAAATTAGCTGACCACTGAACTCTTTCATCATGGATCACCTAGTAATATCTTGAAAAACTCTAGATCTTTACAAAAATATAGGGTGGGAAACAGGCTGGTTATAATTTCCCCATCATTATCACACTGGCAGCAATTCATATAGTTTAACAAATGTGGATATTCATAAACACACACAGGGCCACATAAATTTGCTACTGGTAAAAGACTGAAAAAATAAAGTCAGCAGAATATCTTAAGATTCTATCTTTGCTTTGTTGGAAAAACTGGTTTCATTTCTGTGCTGCATTGTTTTTCCTTTGGCTATATAATAAAATAATAAAACTAGAGACAGAAGTTCAACTCAAAATTAAACACATTGCCAGGTGTGGTGTCATTCACCCATAGTCCCAGCTACTTGGGAGGCCGAGTAGGAGGACTGCTTGAGCCCAGGAACTTGAGGCTGGTTTGGACAAAATAGCAAGACCTCATCTCAAAAAATATAATAAAAAATAAGAAATGAAATTAAATGTACTAATGTGCTTGCTTATAATGTGTAAATGCAATTAAAGGGTCTCAGTATAAATTCTATTCATTTTAAAATTTGCTTTACAAAGCCAAAAAGATGATTAAAATTATTTGTAATATTAAGAATTGTTTTATTATAAAAGAACCTTTGAGAGGTTAATAAAATCTGCTATGAAATTATATTTATCTCTAGTGACTATAGCTACCTATATATGTGCAAAATAGTGAATTTGAAAACATCTCTTTATATGTTAGAATTCAAATCAAGATAAAATTCAGCAGTGAGCACTATTAAACTTGCCATGGAGATTGGATGAGGACTTTATTACCAAACTGTAGAAATGAATAACTTTTCAATATATCTTACTGCTGTCTTCCTGCTGAAATTTTACCTGGGTGAAAAATTTGGGAAGATCTCCTACTGAAGTGATCCGTATAGTAACTTAAAAAGCTGCTGTATGTTCTAGGTAGAAGCTTTTCTGAAATTCTACTTGAGGAGAAAATAAGGAACAAATACGCCACCAATGGAGTAAAGTCTTTACCATACACTTAAGGTTATTTTATTGTTTCTTCATTCCTTCTGGGAACAGGAAGTTGATAAATGTCACCCTTATTTATAAATTTCAGATGGCTTCCTCACTCCTTTATATGGAAACCCCGACTATTTGTGTAATGCCCTATTCAAGTTTCCTCCACAAAATCTTTCATCACTTTCTAATTCAAGTAAAAATGATTTCTCCCTCCTCTAAAGTGCCTGATTTTTATTTATGCTTCTTACTTAGCACATAATCATATTTAATACACTTTAAGTTGCGGTTTATTTGACTTATGTACATATCCTATTCATTGAGAAGTTTAGGAGATTTTAGATGGCAGGAACAAGGTTGTATACATTTTTTGAGAGCCCACAATAAAAGAAACAGTGCTGTTTACACTAGCATTCTATAAGTGTTTGCTGACTGATTGATATTACTATTCAGTGCTTTTCCTAGGAATAGTTAATGCTTAGGAGAAAATATAAGTGTTTTTCTATTATTAGAACAATGAATTTACTTATTAGTTTTAGGAAATGTTAACACACTGTCTTTAACTTAAGGAACTGATGACTAAATGTAATTTTTTCTATGACAGAGCAGTGTTATGGCTAGGCCAGCCAGGTATAGATCACTTAAGGAGTCAGGCACAGAAAGTTGTGGAAGAATTAACTGTCTAATGATAAAGGGACTTTGAATAGGATCTATCATTAGGATCTATTATTAGAGACTAAATAGGAAGGGTGAAGGTAACATCTGCAGACATGCACACAATCACTCACATATGGAACAATTGTGAACCTACAAAAGTAATTTAGCAGTCTCTATTCATTCAACAAATCATTTATTGAAAATGTATAATGGGACAGGCTCTGTATTAGGCACTGGAGAACAAAAGGTGAATGAGAACTATCAGCCATTCATGTTGGCTCTCTAAAGCAGATTCAAATAGAATCAATCCAAAATTCATCTATCCACCTCCAGGTAAAACTATATTACATACAGTTAAGGTACACTAAAAAATATTTTAGCTCATTGCTTAGAGTAATGCAAATAATTTACTTTACCTAAACACTAGCAAACTTAAACTATCCTAAAAAGTTCTTCAAAGAGATATTGTTTCATTTCTGTCCCCAAGCCCTTACATGCCCAAGTTACTGACTGGGGATACAGAGATGTGCTACAAGCAATATGAGTTAAGCTTACCCCAGAGCTGTCTCTAAACAAAAGCTCATTACCTAAGGTTGAGTGTTGGCACAGGTACTTCCTGTCCCTATCAATTCATAAACAGCAACTGACCTAATCTTATGCTCCACAGCACAACATTTTCTTCTAAAACTTTAGTGGAAAAGGCAAAAAGAGAAAATCTCACCAACCACAAACATGTATACATTTAAAATTGTAGAATAAAAATGAGGTGCTATGTGCTTTTAAAACCAGAGCAAAGGTAGGAAATAAATAGCTCCCCTATTCAACTACAATGCCTTTGGCATTGACTCATGAAAGAAACAGAAATGTTGCAGATTTAACTAACCAGCTTTATATCCCAGGCAACTTAAAATGATCTGATTACTCTAAAAGACAGTAGATCAAAAGTTACCCTTTTAGAATCAAAATGCATTTTTCAATGTATTTTAGAAGAAAAAATATAATCTTTAAGAGATCAATAGGGTGTCATTCAACCAGAAATTCATTAAACCAGAAATGAGTAGACTCAAAAGTCTACACAATTAATTTGGCAACTAACTTTGCAGCTAAATTTTAATTTTAAAACTAATGTTACTGGTCTGTTGTTGTTTTAATCCACAGGGACTTCTTATGAGACTGCAAAGGAATAAGCATTTGGCCTATCTCATGGAAGAAGGAACAGTTTCTAGTCTTAAAAACAGGAGGTTCGCCTACATGATCACCTGGGACAAATTTGGCCAGTGCAAGCAGGCCAGAAGGTTATAGGAGCCTGGGAATGTTTAACATCAAGCAAGGAATTACAGCTCAGTAAGATCAGAGGGAATTACACAGGAAATGTGAATAGTAACCCTTTTCTATCTCTGTGCCCCTTCCAGCTGCCTGTGATAAATGGAGGCCTGCTGCTGCCCAGTTATGTGAATACACAAGCCTAGAGAAGAGAGGAATTGGGGAAAAGGAAAAAAAGACAGTTTCTACACACACACACACACACACACACACACACACACACACACACACACACACACACAGTACAGCATAAATTCATAATGACACGATAAAATCATGCTGCTCCAGAAACAGCCTCTAGCCTTTCTAATTGCCACATATGCACTGTATTACTGCCTTTATGCAACAGAGCCCTAAGTAAAATTTCCATAGCAACTTGAAGAATCAGACGGCGGAGGAGGGATGAAATAGTTGGCAGACTCACTGTAAGTAGGGAAATGTGCTCCTACAAAGCTGACCAAACAAATAGGTCTCCACCCTGGCTTATGCTTAAACATCTTGTTCCTAGTCAGTCTGTAGGGAAAGCATTCTTTCCACAATAAATAACATGTAATCAAATCACAAATTCTCACTACATCCTTTATCTACTCTATGCAAAAGTTTCTTCAATATTCTAAGATAGAAGCTTAGAGAATTTAAATGATTGTAAACATTTTTTTTAAAGAGTAACCTGGCTATAATGAAGGCAAGTTAAAATATTTCTAATTGTTAATTTGGAAAATGCAGATATGACTGTGCAGATCTGAGACACCTTCAGAGGCCCCTGGTTAGGATCTCAAAAAAATAAGACACTCTTATCACATCTGCCTCTGGGAAAAGGGGAAATGCTCAGTTTCCACAAACAGGTGAGTTTGAGAGATACTAACTTGAAAAATATACACAAACAGACAAGCTTGGGAAGATGGCTGACCAGAGATATCAGCTGCAATATTGTCACAGAAAAAAGGAAAGTTTCAGATGACAAAGAAAAAACAATCTAGATCAAGTGTAATTCCAAGAGAAAAGAGCTAGAACCTACAAGAGATTCCACGGGAAGAAATTATGGAGCAGAACAAGAAGGAGCAAGGTATCAGTAGAGGTCAACCCCCAAGAGGCTTGGAGTTCAGTGAAAAGGGTAGGTGGACCAGTTTGTTTCTCTCTCTCTCTCATCTCTGGCAGGAAGCAGGCTCCCAAGCTGCTGGAGAGCCTTTCTACCCTCATGAGCCCTAAAGCTGCTGTGGCAAGTGAATTGGGAGCTTCCTGAAGACAAAGCATAATCAAAGCATTCCCCCTAGGGTCGCTTCCAGTCACCACTGACCAAAGCTGATACTGCAGGTGCCATATTGCTTCTCTACCCACTGTGCACCTTTGTCCTCCTCCCCAGGGGGCTTCGGCCCCTCAGTTTTCATCTTGCTCATTCCCAAACATTTCCCAATGCTGGCCCATACTGCAGAAGCCACAGGGGGCCCAGTGGGCCCAGGGGGATCTTGGAGACCTTAGAACCTAGACATTCCAGGCAGGCTGCCTTCCAGAAAGAGGAACAGAGACAACCAGAGTGCTAGCTATCCTTCATTCAGACTCCTTTCCTTTCCTTTCCCTCCCCTGCCCACAACTGCTGAGAGACACTTGAGCCAGGACTCTCAGGAGCTGCTCCTTTCCCTCTGTTGGGGCTTCCACAGAGAATGGGGCTCAAAATTTTCCTCTTAAAGACATGCAGAGGACTAAGCAGTGCTCAGACTGTGAGTTCCCTGTGCATTGGCCCTCCCTGTTGCTGCTTATCTAGCTGCTCCATCAGAGCAGGGCACACCCCAAAGCAGAGGGACATCAAATCTGCTTGAATACCCCATAGGCAACTCAGGACCAGCATGCTACTCCCTGGCATGATCAGGAATTAATCTTCAGGGACCCATGGAGAGGCCCACAGCCCAGAACTTGAGCCCATACCTCTAGGACTCTATAGTATTGCTCAAGGGATACCAAGGGGAGATTTGTGAACTAATCTAAGGAGGCAAGGGAGCCCATGTGGGCAGCACTGAAAAGACATGGCAGTGTGAGTCCCAGACACAGCCCACTCATGCAGCACCCTCCCCACACACAGGAAAGCCACACACTCAGCCCGGGTGGGATCCTGGACAGGGTACTCATAGCCCACAGGGCCATCATCAGGGAGTTTAGCTAGTTTGAGCTTCTGCCTGCTGGCAGATGCTGGAAGGAGATCACAGAGGAGGGGAGACCCCCAAAAAATACTACTTTACCAGCTTTTGTGGAGTCTGAGGGTAGGCTCACCCAACCCATGCCCCAGTCAGCCTCACTCCCCCACCACTACTATGGTAGAGAATAAGGACTCACCTGGAAGTTCCAGGGCCTCAACCATCACCTGGGGCATTTGAGTAATTTTCCTGAGGGCCTAGAGCTGGTCATAGGTCACAAAAACAATACTATATCTGGTTCCATCAGGCAAGCACCACCTACTAACAGGGAGGTCAGTCTGTATAGTCCTTTACAGCATTTATTGACTTAATCTTATAGGGTGTGGTTGATTCTTACCCACAAACACCACGTACCATCTCAGAAATTAAACTGAGCATACCAATATAATTCATACTGTTAAGAAGACCACAGGGCTAAGGAAAGAGAAAGGATCTCAAATCTCCATGCTCTTTCATCAAAGAGAGACAGGGAATCTACCCACACACACAGCTGACCACTGCTATAGCCTACAAACAACTAGCAACTAAGAAAACCACAACACTAAGGGACATCTATAACCAAGGCATCCATCTAGAATCTAGACCCCATCAAAGCACACACAAGCAAAGCCAAAGGTTCTTACCTAGCATATGCGACAGACACACTCCTATGAGTGTCTGTGTGTGGAGAAGCCCCATTTAAACAAAACAAAATCCAAAATTAAGAAATGACAGCTGCCCCAGATGAGAAGGAATCAATGAAAGAACCCTGAAAGTATGAAAAATCGGAGCAAAAGGACACTCCCAAAAGGGCACCCAACAGAAGAAAAGAAATAACTGAGGTCAGAGCAGAATTAAATGAAACGTAAAACAAACAAAAATTACAAAGGATCAGTGAAACAAAACCTTAATTCTTTGAAAAGATAAACAAAATTGATAGACTTCTTGCTAGATTCACTAGGACTAGAAGACAAAGGACTCAATAAGCTTAATCAGAAATGAAAAAGGAGATATTACAACTGATACCATAGAAATACAAAAATCATCTTTGAATACTATGATGTACATAAACTCGAAAACATAGAGGAAATGGACAAATTCCTGGAAACACACAACATCCCAACCAAGACTCAGTCAAGAAGAAACAGAACTCCTGAACAGAATAATAATAAGCATGGATATTGAAGCAGTAATAAAAATCTTCCAACAAAAAAAGTCCCAGACAAAATGGATTCACAGTCAAATTTTACCAGACCTACAAAGAAGAGCTGGTACTCATATTGCAGAAATTATTCCATAATGTCAAGAAGGAGGGAATCTTCCCCAATTCATTCTAAGAAGCTAGTATCGCCTTGATACTAAAGCCAGGAAAAGACAGAACAAAAAAATATATATTCCTTATGAATACAGAGGCAAAAGTCCTCAATAAAATACTAGCCAACAGAATTCAACAGCACATCAAAAAAATAATCCACCATGACCAAATGGGCTTCATACCAGGGATGCAAGGATGGTACAATGTATGTAATTCAATAAATGTGATTAACCACACAAACACAAGCAAAAACAAAGATCATATGATCATCTAAATAGATGCAGAAAAAGCATTTGACAAAATACAGCACCCTTTCATGATAAAAACCCTCAACAAAGTAAGCACAGAAGGAATGATATATACCTCAAGATCATAAAAGCCATATATGACAAACCAACAACCAACATAAGAATGATGAAAAGTTGAAAACATTCCTGCTAAGAACTGGAACAAGACAAGGTTTCCCACTGTCAGCACTTCTATTCAACATAATGCCCGAAGTCCTAGCCAGAGCAATCAGGCAAGAGAAAGAAATAAAGGGTATCCAACTTGTGAAAGAGGTCAAACTATCACTTTCTGCTGATGATATGATTTTATATCTAGAAAAACTCACAGACTCCACCAAGAGACTCCTGGAATTGATAAATAAATTCTGCAAAGTCTCAGGTTACAAAATCAATATACACAAATCGTTAGCATTCCTATACAATAACAGTCAAGCTGAGAGTCAAATGAAATACTCAATACCATTCACAATAGCTACAAAGAAAATAAAATAACTAGGAATATACTTAAACAAGGAGGTGAAAGATCTCTACAAAGAGAACTAGGAAACACTGAGGAAAGAAATCGCAGATGACACAAATGGAAAAACATATCATGCTCATGGATCTGTAGAAACAACATTGTTAAAATATCCATACTACTCAAGGTGATTTACAGATTTGATGGAATCCCCATCAAAACACCAATGTCATATTTCACAGATCCAGGAAAAATAATTCTACACTTCATTCTGAACCAGAAAAGAGCCTGAATAGCCAAAGCAATCGTAAGCAAAAATAACAAATCTGCATGCATCACATTACCAGATATCAAACTATACTATAAGGCTATAGTAACCCAAACAGCCTGGTAATGACAGAGAAACAGGGACACAGACCAATGGAACAGAACAAGAACCCATATATAAAACCATCCACATACATCCAACTGATCTTTGACAAAGCAAACAACAATATATACTAGGGAAAAGAGGCCCTATTCAGTAAACAGCACTAGGAAAATTGGATAGCCACATTCAGAAGAATAAGACATGATCCATATCTCTCGCCACTCACAAAAATTAATTCAAGATGAATAAAAGACTTAAATGTAAGGCATGAAACCAAAAGAACACTAGAAGAAAATGTTGGAAAAACTCTTGTATTAATAGATATCAGCATAGGCAAAGAATTTATGAAGATGACCCCAATGTCAACCACAGCAACAACAAAAATAAACAAATGGGACTTGATTAAATTAAAAGGCTTCTGAACAGCTAAGGAGATCATCAACAGAGCAAATAGACAACCTACAGAATGGGAGAAAATATTTGCAGCCATATATCTGATAAAGGGCCAATAACCAGAATCTAAAAGAACTCAAGCAAATCAGCAAGGAAAAAATAAACAACCCCATTAAAAAGTGGGCAGAAGACATGAACAGAAGCTTGTCAAAAGAAGATAGACAAATGGACAATAAATATATGAAAAAATACTCAGTGTCACTAATTATCAGGGAAATGCAAATTAAAACCACAATGAGGCCGGGCACGGTGGCTCACGCCTGTAATCCTAGCACTCTGGAAGGCTGATGTGGGCGGATCGCCCAAGGTCAGACTTTGAGACCAGCCTGAGCAAGAGCGAGACCCCATCTCTACTAAAAGTAGAAAGAAATTAATTAGCCAACTAAAAATATATAGAAAAAAATTAGGCGGGCATGGTGGCACATGCCTGTAGTCCGAGATACTCAGGAGGCTGAGGCAGGAGGGTTGCTTGAGCCCAGGAGTTTGAGGTTGCTGTGAGCTAGGTTGATCCCACGGCACTCTAGCCCAGGCTACAGAGTGAGACTCTGTCTCAAAAAAAAAAAAAACAAACAAACAAAAAAAAAAACCCACAATGAGATATCACCTTATGCCAGTTAGAATGACTTGTATTAAAACAATAGATGCTGGCATGGATGCAGAGATGGAACTGCAAATTAGTACAACCTCTATGGAAAACAATATGGAAATTCCTTAAAGAACTAAAAGGAGACCTACTGTTCGATCCAACAATCCCAGTACTGGATATTTACTGAAAGGAAAAGAAGTCATTTTATTAAAAAAACACCTGCACTCAACTGTTTATTGCAGCACAATTGACAACTGCAAAGATGTGGAATCAACCCAAGTGCTCAGCAACTCATTAGCAGATTAACAAAATGTGGTATATGTTTACTGTGGAATACTACTCAGCCACGAATAAGGAATAATTAAGGCCTTTTGCAACAATTTGGGTGGAACTGGGGACCATTCTCCTAAGTATCACAAGAATGGAAAAACAAACACCACATGTA